TTTTAGAAGATACAAATTAGTTTTAATTAAGTTTATATAAAACAATAAATTTTGATTTTTGTAGTTTGTATGATATAATTTTTTTATTTATTCTTATAAATTTACATCAAATTTTTTAAAAAGTTAATTTTCAATATAAGCCTTTTTATCTTTATTATTATACATTTATTTTTACTAAAAAGTATGTTTATTTTGTCGAACATAACCTGTTATCGTAATCATTATACATTTACGTTAATATTTAAAAAATATTATTTTAACTTGATATATTTTTATCTTCATTGTTGTACATTTACATTAAATTGATTTTTTTATTTAACATTACCATATCAAATTTTTATAAATAGAGTATTTAAAGCAAATTTGGGAATTTGAGAAGATATAAATTAGTTTCAATTAAGTTTATGTCAAAAACTAAATTTTAATTTTTATAGTTTATGTGATATGAATTTTTACATTTATTTTTATAAATTTACAATCAAGATTTTTAAAAAACTAATTTTCACTATAAATATTTTTTATATTAATATTTGTAAATATTTAATTTCACTAATTATATGTTTACTTTATCTAACATGACTTATTATCTTAACCCTCACACATTTATATTAATATTTTAAAAATATTAATATCAATTTATTATATTTTATCATTATTCTTATATATTTACATTAGAATTAATGAATTTGTATTGTAGTGATATATGTTTTTTTTTTAAATCAAACACAACCGGTCATTAGTAATGACTCATTACTAAAGAAATTCCAACGGTAAATTCCATCACGTTTCCAAGTCAACAGGGATATGAACATTTATATCAACCTTGTACTTAGTTGAATTGAATGTAGAACTACATTTTGCTATTTGTGGTTCTGGATTTAATTTTGTTTGTTAAGGATTGATTTAAGTTTTTTTTTTTTTTGTTAACTGGTTAGATAACTAAACAAATTACAATTATTTTTTTGTTAATCAATTGGTGAAATAAAAGCTTTGAAATTTAATGATTATTATTCAATAGCCTTATAATGGTTACTGTTGTGGTTACTATAAAATTGACCTTATTATAAAATTCTACTTGGTTGTGGTTATTGTTTTTAAGGTTTTTTCATTTTTATCTGTTCTGTTTGTGTCGTGGGAAAAGGAGAGGTTTCACTTTTTCGTATTATTAGAGTGTAGCCTATGTTATGCATTTCGAGTACAATTTTTTATATGTATGAATAAAATTTAAAATTGATTTACATTAACAAAGACAATTATTTAAAAATAAAAGATGAACTAGATTATCATTTACAAATTAAATTGTAGTTTGTAAAGATAAATTTTCAAAAATCAAAAGATATTGTGATGGTAAGGAGTGGAGTTAACCAATTTTCGTTAAAAGGATCAAAAATAGAAAAATAAATATTAAAATTTTAAAAATTAATCCATTCTCCATAAATCTTGCATTATCAAGCAACTTGATCATAATATTTTACAAAATTCAATATTAATACACGAACAACAAATTAGTAAATTTCAATCTATAAATTTTTATTTCGTTACATGTAAATGTTTAGAGAGATAAATCCTTTCTTGAATTGTCTATTGAGCTACTTGGATGGAAAAAGCACAAAATCAAACCTTTGCTTAAACCAAGGCAAATTCTCTTTTTGTAGCCAAACAAACAAAATAAAAGCAATTAATGTAAATTTCATATCATAAAAATTAAAGAGAAAGAAGCCAAAATTTACTCATATGAAACCCAAAAGAAAAAAAAGAAAGAAATTGTAGACTTCATGAGAAAAAAAGATACAGATAAAAGGAGCTTAATTATCCCTTTTGCTATATCGCTTTTTTCTCTCTCTTTTTCTATTTTCCCTCTTCCAATAGCACCAGCCATCCTTAAAATTGATTCAACTCACATTACTAAAAATAAATAGAGCTTCAAATTTTGCAAGAAAATGACCAAAAAATGAACACATCGAGCTCAATTTACATACAATAACAGTAAAAAGCTACATGCAAGAAATGAAGCAAACAATTAAAACCGAGAACTAAGAAAACAAAAAAACAAATGAGACCACACAAGAAAAGAAAAAAGAACCAATAAATTGTAGGCTAAATGTCGAAATCAAAAGGAAACCCTGAAAAAACTAGAAAGCATAAGTAGTAGAAGTGGGAGATAAAAGACAAAAGACAGATAAAAGGCAAATCAAAACACTTACCATTCCTTAGCAATTCAAACAAAACCAAAAGAAAGATAATAGAAAAAAGAGAAGGTGTTTAGTGAGAGAAAGTTAAAAGCAAAAATGAAGATAATAGAATAAAACCCTAGGTTGCTAATAAGAAGGAAAACAAGGAAAAAAGAAAAAA